TTCTAGTTACATCTTTTCCTATAAATTCCATGCTCAATGAAAATTTGCAAAAACAGTATGTTCCCTCCCCTCTCTTTTTATGTCACTGTGGGAGGGGGCGGGAGCGCAGAGGAATGGCATGCTGAAATGGCATAGGTTTCAGGGCCTGAACTTGAAGAAACTGTTTTGATGGAACGTCTGACTTTAAGAGGAAAAGAAAGGGCAAGTAGGATCCAAAGAACCATCATAATTGACAGATGTCCTGGTGGTTCTTTAATAAAAAAAGACGCTTTATTACCTGAAGTCCGCGACCAATAACGCTCTGAGCACATGCCTGGGAGTGGTGCCAGACGGTCCCCGGCTGCCGCTGACTGTGAGGCGCTGTGCCCGCATGTCAGGCCGAAGCAGGAAGCGTCCTGCGTCCAGAGCAGAGGCGCTGGCTGTCTGGATTCTGCCTTCAGAGCAGGTGTGTGGTCGCCCCAGGCCACTGGTCGTTGGTGAGTATTCCTTATCAATGCTGTCCAGTTTGCATGTGGAGGTCTCGCTAACAGTCCCCACATGGCTCATTACGTATCATTAGGTTAATTATGATGTTTATAGACCTTAATCATACCTTGGAATTTTGGAGGTGGGGAGAATTCTGTTTTATGTTTTAGCCAAAAGCAAAGGATCATTTCTACTCCCTCAGAAATAACAAGTCTGATTCCCTTCAGAATCATTTTAGTGTTGTGATCTTATGTTTCTGTGTCCTTTCTCATGATCTAAGTGACAGCCATTCCAGCCTGTATGCCCAGCACAGGCGAGTATTTCATCCCAGCGAGCCTGTGTGCACCAGAATAACCTGGTATGGCTCAGTGTGGCTTGGTGGTTTAGCGTCGACCTATGAACCAGGAAGTCATGGTGTGATTCTGGTCAGGGCATGTGCCCAGGTTGCAGGCTCGATCCTGGTGGGGGTGGGCATGCAGGGGTGGTCAATCAGTGATTCTCTGTAATCATTGGTGTTTCTAACTCCCTACCTCTCTGAAATCAATAGGAACATTCAAAACAAAACAAAACAAAGCAAAAACCTCACACCTGGCCGGTTTGGCTCAGGTTCAGCATCACCTATGAACCAGGAGGTTAAAGTTTGATTCCCGGTCAAGGGCATATGCCCAGGTTGTGGGCTCGGATGATCCCCAGTGGGAGGCGGGCAGGAGGCAGTTGATCGAAGATTCTCTCTCATCATCGGTATTTCTATCTCCCCTTTCCCTTCCTCACTCAGAAATCAATAAAACATAAAACAACAACTCCCAAACTTCCTACTGGGTGTTCCACTCCTGCAGACGCCTCAGCCTCGTGCCCGCGCCTGGTCTGCTGCCAGCCCTGCGCTGCAGAGGGTTGACGTCAGGCTGGACGGGGCAGCCAGGGCCGCTGGGCAGGAGGGCACAGTTGGGGTGTGCGCGGTGTGCCAGGTCTCCCAGGGTGAGAGGATCCGGGAATCGGGAAGCCACTCGCCCTCGGGTTCTCTCTGAGTCGGATGCTCTGGGCGCACCTGCTGTATTGCTGTCGGGCCCTTCCTGCGGCTGCTGTTCCTGTGGCCACCGCTCTGCGGCGCCCGGAGTTCCAGACGAGGAGAGACGCACAGCTCTCTGTGCACACTGCTGTGGCAGGTCGCTGTGGCCTCTTCCTCTGGGGAGGGCAGGGCTTACAGCAGCGACCCCGACCCCGAGGAGGTGCCTCAGCCACAGTGACCACCGCTCCCTCCACTCGGGGGCATGCAGTCAGCGACGTCCCGCCCACCCGGCACCTCAGTGTCAAACGCATTGCCAGCCACGTATTTTGGAGCATCTTGGTCTCCTGCTTAAATGATCGCAGTGATCTCCCTGCCTTCAGGCTCCACTCTGCCCACAGAGCTACACACTTCCTCCACTTCTGGAAGCTTCAGTGGCTCCCCAAGGGGAGGCGGTGCTCCCCACACTTCCGTGGTCAGAAATCACCTGGGCTGCTGCATAAAGGTAGATTCCCGCTTACTCCTCTTCAGATCAGTGCATTTGTGGGAAGACCTGGCCATCTGGGTTTTTACACAGCATTCCGGTCACTTCCAGCATTTACCAGACTCTTCAAGGGCCCTGCCCCGCCCTCCCAGCTCTGCCCTGGACTGGGACCCAGGGCCCTCACCTCCTGCACCGCGGCGTGGCCAGCCCCTGCTCTTTGAGCATCTGCCCACCTGCCCCGTCTTAGCCTGTGCCCTGGGCTGACGCGGGTCCCTCAGGGGGTCACGTGCTCGCGTCTGCTGGACTTCCTTCACACTGAATAGCATCTCCCGCGGTATGTGGGGCCTCTAGGAGCCACTGTCTTATCCTCCAGCTAAAAGGACGCGTGTTAGGAATGCGACGTCATTTCTGCCCAGGGAGGAGGAAGCTACAAACATACTCTTCTCTGTCTCCCGTCCTGATCTTGTGAGGTGAAGTCGTCAGGTGGCGCTCAGGTGTGGACTCCACGGACGGGACAGCCGGAGAGCGCAGTTCAGCGCCCAGCGACGACACGCTTCCTGGCTGCAGCACAGGAGAGGGACCCGTGACGCCTCCCCGTGAGCGTGGCGTTCCGGCCAAGCGCCGGATGCCTGGTCCACGCCTGGTATGACCGGTCAGTTCTGTTTCGCCGGAGATGAGTGAGCAGGGGAGGCTGGGGGCCGGAGGCGGCCGAGTCCCTAACGCTGAATCCCCAGGCTCCCCACAGTCAGCGCGGGGTGTGGGGCCTATGCGCCCGTGACAGCAGCCAGAGCTGGAGCTCTGGCCCAGGTACCTCCCGTTGTGTTCTCGGCAAAAGGAATTCTCAGGATGGCTTCCATGCATTGATCCGTGTACCTGTTCGTGCATGTGACACAGTCATTTCCTTCTTCCTGTCCAAGAAAGGCCGGGGAGTCGGCTGGTGGGCTGACCCAAGGCCACGGCAGACCTGCTGGCCTGGTCTCTGGCAGCCTCGCTGGGTGTCCGGGGACAGTGGCAGGGCGAGAGAACGGGGTCTCTTCCTTTCCCCGCCTCTTGTTCATGCTTTTCCCCAGAGCATCGGGGCCTCTGCCAGCTTACAAAGGCCAAGGCACTGGGGTCAAATCAGATGGTCAGATGCCGCCTGTGTGTGAGAGACAGAGGGGGGCCTTGGGGCAGGGGTGGCCGTGACCTGGGCTGAGTGAGTGGTAAAGGGTCGTATGACTTTATTGCATCACTTACGTGACTTTCACAAGAGCTCAGCTCCCCACGCCATTCCCTGTCGGTAACAGTGGTGTGTGTGCGTCACCCAGTTATGACCGAGCTGGCGGGAACCACAGGACGGAGGCCTCTGTCCCTGCCCCGCCCCTGGCCGCCGTGTCGGGGCGAGGGTGGCTTTCCCAGCCAGGCCCTCAGCTTTCCTTAACTCTGACCCTGTGGGCTGCCACTCGTCCTGACCGTGCTCCATGGGAAGACCGTCCTGAATAGCAGGATTTTTCTGGAAAACCCATAGTTCTTATTTCTAATGAGTGCACATTTGGAAAACTCATTTCTATTTGCAAGAGAGGGAAAGCCACCAACTACATGTGTGGACTCGGAAACGTCCATGAAGGCTTTGTTTCTCCCTTCGTGTTATTACTGTGTTTTTCCTGGACTCACACCTGTCAAGAAGTGACTCAATATAAACAATTTTTTGCTGTTAGGGCAGAAAGGAAGTACTGCAGCCACCAAACAGGTCTCATACGAAGTTATTGTGGATTGGAGTTCCCTTCGTGCAGTGTTACAAGTCCGAGTGAAGACTGGGTGGGATTTTGTTTGGGATTAGTGAGCCCTCATTTTGCTTATAGCTTACTAGAGGCCCACCCGGCTCACAAAATTTGTGCACGGGGGCGGGGGTCCCTCAGCTCAGCCTGCACCCTCTCCATTCAGGATCCCTCTCAATCTGGGACCGCTGGCTCCTAACCGCTCACCTATCTGCCTGCCTGGTTGCCCCTAACTGCCCTCCCCTGCCAGCCTGGTCACCCCTAACCACCTCTGCCTCAGCCCCCACCACTGTGGCTTTTTCCGGAAGGATGTCCAGAAGATGTCTGGTCTAATTAGCATATTACCCTTTTATTAGTATAGCTAAGTATTTGTCATATTACTTTTCTATATGTATTTAAAATACTCCAGAATATTTTAAGTGAATAAAAAATGGTCAAGTTGCAGAAAAATAAAAGTTTAGAAATACAACCTGGTAGGCTTGAAAGCAACAACATTTGCGTAAAAGGGCATAAGTTGCAGTCAGCAACAAAACTTGGTTAATATTCTTTTGTTGGAAAGGCGTGGTTTGGGCAAAGGAGGGAAGGAGACCAGCTCTATAAAAGGGAATGTCTGATTGGGCCGTTGCCACAGCAAAGAGGGGCAGGTGCGGCAAAGGTTCAGGCTGTCCACAGGCAAGCATGTCTGTGTGTATGGGACACCAAAGGTGTTTTTAAAACTATTATTTCCCTGACATATAAAATATACATACATATAAGTATACGTGCACTCTTCTGAGCTTCCCCTGCCCTCCATTTAATATTTGGCTATGGCCTTCTTTTCATGTCAACGAACTGGATGCACAGACATGATTTTTAATGGCTACAGTGTTATCCCTGCCTGTTTGACATTACTATGGTTTACTTCACTAACCCTTTATTGTAGGGCTGTTTCCCGTTTCCCCTGGCATCAACCACTACAGTGAACATAATTGCTCATTTGACTGTTTACTTAGGACACAGTCACAGACATGGAACTCCTGGCCCAAAGCTAATTCACTTGAATTTTGATCCACATTTCCAAACTGACTTTCTAGAAAGTGCTTCTGTTTGTTTAGTCCATTGGTTTTAAATCAGATTACACTCCCACAAACGGGGTAAGAGGAAACGTTCAATGCGCCTTGGGCAAATCGCAAACGCTTGCTGAACTTGAGCAACCCCGGGGCGCAGGACCTGGAGGATCGGGCTGGAGGGTGAAGTCCAGGGAAGCGCGGTCGAGGGCCCTGTGTGGGTGCGGGCGTGTGCATGTGTGTCGCTCGGGTCCACGCTCGTGCACACGCCCGCACTCCCGCTCTGCACCCTTGGCCACCAGGAACCTCCGTGGGGCTGCCGTGAGCTCGGATACATCCAGTCCCAGCACCAAGCAAGTCTGAGAAAGGTTCTGCCACCAGGAACCTTGCAGAGTTCAGCCCGCTCGCCAGTCCCCGCCCATTGGCCGAGCCTTGGTTCGTTCTGGACCCTGGCTCTTTATATAGATAGATAGCTGTGTGACTCGATGGGCTGTTGCTGGAGGATGAAAACCCAGAGGGGCTGATGGTTAGTGTACAGGCTGTGTCTCTGTTAACGTGGGTGTGGCCCGTTTCAGGAGCTGTTTAACCTGCCAGGTGTAATTTTGGGGCCTGATTCACACAGCCTGTCCCCAGTGTAGCCAGAATTTCAAGCTATAAGTCTCTCTTTGATTGTGTTCTTCACATTTGGCTTCAACACAGCGGCATCATTTCCTAGATGGGCCCCGTGCACATGCTCCACACAGAGACTTCACCCAGCTCGTGCCGCAACACGGCTGGGAAAGTGAAAGCGCTTGCAAGGTTAGAAAGGCTGACCTCAGGGGAGAACCACATTGAGCCCCCAGCTGCCCAAGTTCAAAGGCCTTTTCTTGGTTATGCCCCCCCACCCCCCGCCCCCAGCCCACCCGCTGTGTTCCTGAGCAGCTTCACAGCGCAGTGCATGGGGAGTTCCAGCTGAGGGCAGGGACAGTGACCATCCCCAGGCCCCCGGGGCAGGGGCAGTGCTGGCCACACATTAGCAGCCGAGCCTGCTGGGTGACTAACCTCATTCCAGCCCAGCCAATTGCATTCCATATGTAATTACACTTTCCTGCCCAAAGGCATCCCTCTTAGTAAACCGGGCACCACACTGAAAGCATTCCTGATGGGACCATTAGGGTCGAGATGGAGGCTCTGAACAAGAAGCCAGGGGAACCTAGTCATTGAGTTTCGGGGTGCCCAGTCTTAACGCTGCCTTTGTTGTTCTAGATGGAATCATCTTTGGAGGGAGGCGGCGTGTGGGCCTTTGGGTAAGTGCGTGCTCACATGTTTTGACGAGGGATTGTGGCGAGCGAGAGAGTAGTATGTTCATCCCAATCTGGAGGACTTGTTCTAATCCTGGGTGCTCTTCATATGTTACCACTTTCGTGGTAACTGCTGGGAATACATCCAACTAAATTTATTCTTTTTCTCTCCAGAGAAGATTCCAGAATCTCTTAAAAAGTCTTTATGGGCAAGATGAACTCAGCCAAGTCTGGGTGAAACGCCAGAAGGTCCCCGGAATGTCTTGTCTGAAGCTGTGGGTGGGGAGTGACCTCAGCAGGGCCGGGTGTGGTGAGTCAGGATGGCCAAGGAGAAGGTTGCTCCAACTCCCCAGCGTGGTTTAAAAGACACTTAGACATGTAAGGATTAATGGGCGCGGACTTCCTCTCTCTGCCTTCTGCCTTCCTACCTGCCCCTCCGTCACCCCTCGTCCCCTTCCTTCCTACTCTCTTTCGTACATTCCAAATGTTAATGTTATAGTATAATAAAAAAAACTAAGACAAAACTTTAAAAGAACAAAAGTTTTTGGTTTTTCATGGGGTGCGGCTACAGTGTTTTGGCCGGGTTCAAGCCTCAGACTAATGAAAGGACAGGGTCCTCTCATTGCCACGTGCAAGTCCCAGCTGGAGGGCAGGGCCCTCCCAGCACAATCATAGCCAACGGCTGTGGTTGTAAGCTTGAACCTATGATCCGAACACGTAGCCCCACGTGCCTTGTGCTAGAGTTCGGGTGCATGTAGTTGAGTGAGGTTGGAACTCACGAGAATGCTGTAAACAACGTGGTCACGCCCCTGCTTTGCCTCGTGGCATCTGCTATAAAATAAAGACACGGCTTGTGGGCGCTGGCGCTGTCTCCTCATCAGGGAGCAGCGTCCCACCGAGACCCAGCTTTCATTCTCTTGTCTGTCTTTTCTCAGTCCTTTCACCCTCCCCCCCACACACACACTCAGGGTCACTGAACCAGGCTGAGCTGGCATGGCACATAAGGCGCCCTGGGGCCGAGTATGCCATGGCTGTGCCGGCTCCCCACAGTTTTTGAATTTTAATCTTTCATCATAGGAAGGTAAGAAAGGAGACTCGGGCACCACCAACTGCACATGGACCTCCTGTGCTGTCGCGGGCAGCAGGCCCTCCGCGAGCTTGCAGGAGAGCCAGTGCCGGGGTGCAGCTGTGGCGCCATCTGTGAGTCCCATGTCACGCGGGCATGGTGAAAGGCTTCAGTGCTCTCCGTGAGCTCCAAGCTCCAGGGTGGCTGGGCCTGGGGACAGGGCAGGGTGTGGAGAACATGAGGGGAGTTAAGGAATGTGGGAAGGCGAGGGGGGTCCTGTAGGACCTCGTTTTCACTCTGAGGTAAGAGCCAGGAGAGTGCTGAGCAGATGGCTGATGTAATTGCACAGATTCTTGAAGCTGCCACTGCCCTGAGAATGGCCTGATGGGCTGGGGTGGAGGCAGGGGGCCTGATGGAGGTTGTTGCTGTCCCCCAGGTGAGAGGTGATGCTGGGGAGGAGTGGGTGAAGGAGGGTGCAGGCATGTTTGGAAGACACAGCCCCTGGGATTTATTATAGTCTAGAGGCCCACTGCACAAAAATTTATGCCCTCGGGGGGTCCCTCAGCCCGGCTTGTGCCCTCTCACGGTCTGGGACCCCTCAGGGGATGACCACTTGCTGGCTTAGGCCCGCTCCCTGGGGGATTGGGCCTAAGCTGGCAGTCAGACATTCCTCTGGCAGCCCGGGAGCCCTTGGGGGATATCCACTTGCCAGTGGGGAGCAGGCCTAAGCTTCAGTTCGACATCCTTAGCTCTGCTGAGGAGGCAGGAGAGGCTCCCACCACCACTGCTGTACTGGCAGCCATCAGCCTGGCTTGTGGCTGAGCAGAGCTCCCCCATGTGGGAGTGCACTGACAACCAGAGGGCAGCTCCTGCATTGATACTCTGCCCCCTGGTGGTCAGTGTGTGTCATAGTGACCAGTCATTCCTAGTCTTTCTGCTGTTAGGGTCAGTTTGCATATTACCCTTTTATTAAATAAGCTCCCCCGCTGGGGTGCCTGGCCAGCCTGGGTGAGGGGCTGAGGGCTGTTTTCAGGCTGGCCACACCTTCTTCAGGGTGGGGGTCCCCACTGGGGTGCCTGGCCAGCCTGGGTGAGGGGCTGATGACTGTTGGCTGTTTGCAGGCTGGCCATGGCCCCCAGCCCCCCAAGCTCCCAGTGGAGGCTGCCTGGAAGCAGGTATCTGGGATTTATTTATCTTCTATAATTGAAACTTTGTTGCCTTGAGCTGAGGACACAGCCGGCCAGGGCAAGCGGGAAGCCTGGCTTCCTCTATCACCGAGGCACCAAGCCTCCTGCTTGCTCCAGCTCTGTGTCTGCCGGCCACCATCTTGGTTGGATTAATATGCATATAGTTGCTCCGATTGGCTGGTGGGCATGGCTTATGAGTGTAGCAGAGGTATGGTCAATTTGCATGTTTCCCTTTTATTAGATAC